CCTAAGTCCCCATATCCCTTTGTTAGGCAGATTACCCATTGATTAGTCCAGGATGGTTGGTTGATGGTCCACTTAGGGGAGCTACTTGTTTGCAGATGGTCTCTTGATGGCTGGGAATCTCTGTTATTGGAATGAGATACCTAAAGGCATACCTAAAGATCCTGTCTGATCTTGGAAGTTAAGCAGGGTCATCCCTGGTTAATCCTTGCATGGGAGACTGCCAAAGAGTACCAAGTGCTGTGGGCTATATTTCAGAGGAAGGAGCTGGAGGAAAACCACCTCTGAGTATTTCTTGTCTAAGAAAGCCCTAGAAAATTCATAGGGTAGCCAGAGATCTGATAGGTGACTTGGGCATACACACCCACACCAAAGGTAGGGAAGAAGCAGCATTTGAATAAAGTGTGATTGTGTCTGTGTCTGTGTGTGCACACAACAGAGAAAGAGGGGGAGAGAATCAGACATAGCACTAGATAATTTGGGGGAAACAGGTTGGGAGAGATCTTTCAGGAGCATCCTTCAGGGATGTTTTAGTGTTGTATTCCTGTATGGCAGGGGGTTGGATTAGATGCCTCTTGAGGTCCCTTCCAATTCTTAACATCTTATTAAATTAAATAAACCTGAGGTTCTTCTGCCTTTTGGGGCTGCGTGTTTTCTTTCATTCCTGCTTTGCTTCCATTTGTAAATGAAGCTAACATGAAGATACCACGCATTTCTGCTCGCTCATCTAAAACTTTTGTGTTGGGGACTTGAACATCCATGGATTTAGGTAACCGGGAACCGAAGTAACATCTGAGACAAAATATAGGCCTGTCACTCTCATCATGGTCCAAAACACACCGCAGCAATAATCCAGTCGGACACTGCTGAACTCATGTCCACTCCGACACTTTCCTCTCCGCAGAGGGCAGAAGAGAGCCACACGCCTCTGAAGCTTGTGCCAATAATGCCTTTCTTACACACCCACCAGTTGCAAAGACCTTCCTTCCTAACTGTGCTGCTTGCTTGCTTACTTACTAGGTGTTGTGCCCTTTCACAAGCCCAGGGTTGGACACAGTACTCTGATCCTTACCTATCAGGTAGCTACACCCAAGATGACAAAGACCACAGGGGCTCCTATGCCTTTAGAAAAGGAAGTCTTAATCTGCAGGATCAGTCTGTAGAGAGATTTTGTAGCACCTTTGAGACTCGCTGAAAGAAAGAAGTTGGCAACAGGAGCTTTCATAGACTTGGGTCTACTTCCTCAGATGCGTAAGATACTACTATGATACTACGGCTACTACTATAAGATCATACTATCCATCTGAGGAAGTAGACATAAATCTAGGAAAGCTCCCACTGCCCAACCTCTTTCTTTCAGTTAAGTCTCAAAGGTGCTACAAGAGCTCTTTAGAAAAGGAGTCTTAAGAAAGGAGATTTGAAAGGTGCTGGGTATAAGAACATCACAGCCCGGCATGGGCAAATAGATGGGAGATTTTATTTGGAAAATCATCTGAGCCCCAATTGTCCTTTTGAAGGAAGAGTTCTTGTCCTTTTTAGGAGACAGCTTCCCAAATACGGAGGACCCTTGGTATCCGCTGAGGTTTGGTGGGTACCAAAATCCATGGAATGCTCAAATCCCATTATAAACATACAATGGTCCCTGTAGTGGTTTCAGTGTTGGATTATGACTCTGGAGATCAGGGTTCGATTCCTGTGTGAAAACCTACTCGGGACAAATCACACTCTCTCAGCCTCAGAGGATGGCCATGGCCTCTAAAGAAACTTGCCATGAACACCCCATCACAGGGTTGCCTGGAGAGCCAGCACGACATAGTGGTTTGAGTGTTGGAGACCAGAGTTCAAATCCCAGCTCGACTATGGAAACCCACCTGGCAAGTCACACTCTCTCAGCCTCAGAGGAAGGTCAGGGCAAAGCCCCTCTGAAGAAACTTGCCCAGAAAACCCCATGATTGGGTCGCTGTAAGTTGAAAACGACTTCAAGGCACATAACAGGGGCTTACACAAAATGGCAAAATCAAGGTTTGCTTTTTGGAATGAATGTATATGTGTGTGTGTGTGTGTGTGTGTGTGTCCATGTATATATGTGTGTTTTTATGTGTGTGTGTGTGTGTGTGTGTATATATATATATATATGTGTGTGTGTGTGTGTGTGTGCGCGCGCGTCTGATATATATGTTTGTTTACCTATGTGTTTGTATGCATCTATGTGTCTGTGTATATATATATATATATATATATATATATATATGGGTGTGTGTGTGTGTGTGTGTATACATGTGTGTATACATGTGTGTATACATGTGTGTATGTTTGTATGTATGTATGTGTCCGTGTGTGCGTGTGTGTGTGTTAGATTCTGTGTTCCGCTTCCTGTTCAGCCATGAAACCCACTGGGTGACCTTGGCCGAGTCACACTCTCTCAGCCTCAGGGGAAGAAGGCAATGGCAAACCTCCTCTGAACATATCTTGCCAAGAAAGCCCCATAACTCAAAACGACTTGAAGGCACACAACACACACACTATATGTATTATTATTATTACTATAATTGTTGTTGTTAATAATAATAATAATAATAATTGTATTTATACAATATATTCTTTAGAAACGCTCTCAGGGGGGCTTACAAGTGGTCCCTCTGTTACGGACTCTGTTTGTTGAACAGTCGTACCTACCTAACTAACTACCT